CCAAGGACCTTTTGAAAGCGGTTGCAGATTCTGATAATGCTACATCAAAGAGTGATGTTGATTCTGTAGACGGCCAGCCACGCGCGTAAAAAGTGCTTATAAAACACATCCGATGGTATTTTTTGTTACAAGCAGGCAACCACCACGAAAATGTAGCTTTAGTGTCACAAACACAGATTTTAATAGGGGTGGACAGTGCCAAGTTTGGAAATGAGACGCATTTCGTGTCTGTTGCGGCTATCGTTGCTACCAGAAATGGGACGGAAGTCTCTAGCTTGGCCAATCGGACCAAAACAGCGCCGTGAATTCTATCCCCGGTGTCCATGGCAACATACTCGTTTGTGATAATCATTCTGATTGGTCAAAATATTTCATTGTGACAAATAGGATTGATTTAACTAGAAAACTGAGCCCGCATAGCGAAGGATATGGAAATAATGCGCAATAAAATGGTAATTCTTTGATCGAAAAATCGATTGAAACAAGGTTTTTATCAAACAAAACAGGCGGCGAAGACACATAAAGTTTGTATTATATATTTATTAATATATTATTTCCTTATTATCGTTATAACTAAAATAGTTTTCATCATATATCCCTTCAATACTTGATATTTTTATAGCTTTATGGGTGTCTTTGTTTGGAAATATGATTACCCCCATTTGATTTGTCTCTTTTATACAAGTCAAGTTAAAATCATTTTACAAGACGCCAAACAATTCGAATTATATTTTCATTCTGAGAGGGGCAAAATATATTGATTTAATGTAGTGTCGAATTTTTAATGTTCATTGTACATGTTATAAATATAATAATGCAGTATTAAAAATATTAAGGCACACAATTGTCAATGGCTTCAACAACCCTATCTGGTTCAAAACGTAAGGAGGAAAGTATATCTCCTAGCGCAGCCTCACTATCAAAAAAGAAAAAATGTAGTTATTCCTCTGATAAATGTCTATTTTGCCAAGGCAACACATCACCGTGAGTTGAGAATATCTTCTGATGATGGAAGAAGCAAAGCTGTCAAATGTGAAATTAAGACGAGAAACCTTAATGACAAAGCATCAGATACCATAATTGAGAGGGTTCTCACAGTTATTAGCCAAAATAGCAATTGCTGTGATATTAAATGGCACAAAACTTGTTACAGCAAATTTACACATAAAGGTAAAATAGCTAGACTTAGGGAAAGTACATTTATTATGCCGAGGGGGGGGATGAAGATGTTAAGGGGGGCACCGAAATATTTTCTGGCATTAAAGGGGGGGCTCTGAAAGTTCTTGATATACTGAAGGGGGGGCTCTAAACTTTTCAAAGTTTTGACCCCAGCAAATTCAAGTTAAAATTTTGACATTTTCAGGTAAAATTTGCGTAATAAAGTAATTATTTTTGTGAAATGATAACCATTTTTGTAAAATACAGTCAATTTACATGCAATTTGTTTGCGAAATTTGCTTTAGAAAACGCCAGAAATTCAGTCCTAGAGCTTCAAAAATGTAAAAATTTTCTGGGGGAGGACCCCCAGACCCCCCTTTTCTCCCAAAACTTAGTATGAGAGTGCCAATCAATCACAAAAAGCTTTATTATAATTATTACACGTATAATCCTCTGACATCCCCCCCCACCCCAAACGTCAGATGCTTTGCTACGTCCCTGATGGTTGTATTCGAAACCGATTTCAGTTTTAAGATATCCTTAGTCTGCTCTTCTAAATGGATACATGAAATCACCTATAGCTTATTTTAAATTTTTTGGCGCCAGGTTTGTGAAGTAATTTACGCGCCAAAAAGTAGCAGTTCCAAAAACAAAAAAGCATATACGATTTGCAAGAATGATATGTTCTATGTTTATGGGATATTTCGTACAAACGGGATGGAAATTAAAGAAATTGAAGCATACTGGCACTTTTGCATGCATTTTTGACAGGCATACAAAGACATTTGCAACAGATGCCGGGAGATACGTTGGGTGGGGGCGACATACTGTAAGGTTCCAGCACATTACCCTGATCCAGGAAATCCTGGCCACTACATGAACGTGTTCAAGACTCCGAATACGCTGAATGATGGACAACAACAACCTGTTGATAATTTCACCCCTAGAGCCAATTTAAAATGTTTTAAAGACGGTGCCATTTCATCTGGCGCTAGTGAGGTGAAAGAAGCAGCAGATCGGTAGTTTTGTTGAGGAGAAGCACATGCTTGAGTATATCAGACATCTTGAGGAACTGCAAATTGTATCTATGATAAGAGAGAATTCCGGATTGTACTCCTTCGATTCCGAATTCTAGAGGGGGGGGGGCATTGAAAATTTTAAAAACTTGGAGGGGGGGCATCGAAATTTACCGATAACCTCAACAGGGGCCCTGTAAAAATATGAGCTTTTTTCAAGACATCTTCATCCCCCTCCCTCGGTGTAATAAATGTACTTTCCCTAAACAAAGAAGGGTTAAAATTACAAAGTCAACGTGTCACAAGAGCAATAAACAGCATGGTATTGACTGGTCATTGTGTATGTTTTGTCAAAAGAGTGGGGGGAAGGCTATTAGGGATGTTGCAACTATGGAATTATCAACAAAGATAATTAATTTGTCAGAGTTAGACTCCATAATGTATGTTAGACTTGCAAACATAAGTGATTTGGTTGCATCTGAGGGCAAATATCATCTTAGTTGTTGGGTACAATTTCAAAGGAAAGTCGACAAGATCAAAGAATTTGCTTGTATGGATAATGGGAAAAAAGTCACAACACTGTTTTTATAGGTTATGTAGTGATTTAATTGGTGGGCTTGAGTCTGGCCATATACAAAGTACAACATTTACCAGAAATATTTTGTAATTATTTTGTATCCAACAACGAGATACATCATCACAATACCAGAAATGCATCGCTCCTTCACAAGTCTTACAAAAGAACAAATTACACAAAACATTCCCTAGCAAACAAAGGAATCGAAATTTGGAACTGTCTTGCGAAAGACTTCAAACAAATAGAATCACATTTCGTCTTCAAACGAGAGGTAAAGAAACACTTTCTTCATATCTAATTAACTACCGGAAGTTTATAAATTCTATCAAACTATAGGGCACAACAAATCACCACACGTTTATTTCTATGATTATTGATTACTATGAATATCAAATTATAATTGTAATTGTATTATTATAATAAACCGTAAAGATTCGCAAAATTGATTACTGTAATAATTTGAACTGGTTTACTTAATTAATTAAAAAACAATTGTAAATATATTTCTAGGGGTCTAAGCAAAAAGCCAAATGGTTTCAAATAGATTCCTAGCCCTCTTCTTCCTTAACATTAGAATTTTCATGTAAATAAATAAATATTATTGGGCAAAATCAAATAAATAATAATAATATATATGACATGGGAAGTATATGGGTATTTTATGAAGAAATGTATGAGAGAGATGGTATTAATGTTCCACAACAATATGTTACTCGGAGAGCTTCATTTTATGATGATATTAAGAAATTTTAGGAAGTATATCTTCGTTTGTTCGACCAATCGATCCAACCATCTATTGCTTTATACATAGTTCTAATATTGTCATAGCTGAACATCTGCCTAATATTGTTCATGATAAGACAGATGAAGCAGATGTGGTAGTTTCCCCTGTACAAAATAGCCAACTACAGAATTTGGTCCACACTGCATTACATATTAGAAGAGAATTAGAAACAATGCCAGGCCATAATGGTGGGTGGGGTGGGGTGGGATCAATGAAGATCATGTTAACAGAATAATCCCTGATAGCTGGTCCCTTTTTCTTCAAATCTTGTTGGGAGGTACGAATGTTCTTGAAGAATTACTATGTAAAGCTAAGATACATAAATCAGCCAACAATATTGCACAAGATATAATTTATGCAGTTTCTAAAGGGAGTTAATCCCTAAACAGTTGGTCTTGGGCTTACCCTTCACCAAGCAACAAGATCTAAAAAACTTGTTGGGTTATTTCATGCTGCTGGGCATACAATTGGTATAGACACAATTCGAAGATTTGATACAAGCATAGCTACAGATATATTGAATCATTATATGAGGAAAATGATAATGTATATATACCTTATGAGATTGCACCATACACCACTGGGAGAGTTGTTCTTGCCTCATGTGATAATATAGATGTTCTAGAAGAAACCATTGATGGGAAAATACTTTTCACTGTACCCAAAAGATGCTTTGGCAGAGAGGACCAGTTAGAGAAAGACCTGTAACTGGAAGGGCAATAGGTAGGGCAAGAACATTGACTCTGGCTGCTTGGAACAATTCCACAAATTAGACCATGCATATATGCCTGTGGGGAGGCCAAATCCAGTGTTTGACGAGCATACTGATTTTGATTGTGATGAATGGTTTGCAACAAATGAGGAAAAGAATGAATCAGATTTGAAGAATCTTACATGGATACTTACACGGATGTTAGCTGATGAGAAGATTATCCCTGGTTGGGCAGCATTTAATGAAGTAACATGTGTAAGTATCCTCAATTGATCCTCCCTTGACCACACCTGGGATGTTACCAATTCTCCAAGCATTTGCAGCTGAAAACAATACTGTGACAACTGTAATTAATCATTTATGTCTATAAGTGAAAAGCCTATCAACTATTTACAATCATCACAGCAGATCAACCACTCTATAGCAGAGGTAAGGAATTAATTTGGGCAAACTATGAGAAATATGGAAATGTTGTTCTTATCATGGGTCATTTGCACATAATATTTAATTTTCTGAAGGCTATTGGACAGCATATGGAAAATGCTGGTCTTCTAGACGTCTGGGTAGAATCTGGGCTATTTGCATGTAGTAGTACAGATCAAATAATGGAAGGTAAGTCTTACTATAGAGCAGTCAGGGGGCACACTTTGGCATATTATTCATTAAACCGTATTTACTGGAATTATTTTGTGAAGTGGGTGGGTACACAAGAGCACTTAAAGACACCAGAGCTGAGGATGAAAATTGGCGAGATTGTTCAAGAATTTAGTAAAGGTGACATAGATAGTAAGATTGAAAGGTAAGTTCTTTAGTTGAGTTGTTAAATGATACTGCTATACTAGAGTTAATGAAGGAATACGATAACAACCAGCAAGATATACCAAATTTTGTCCTATGGCGAACCTACATGAAGATGGTGGAAACACTCCTGAATTTTATAAGGGCTAATCGAGAAGGCAACTGGAATCCTCATCTACAATCATTTGCTGATATGCTATCTTGGATAGCAGTTTATGATCACACCAATTACGCCACATGGGGAACAATATATCTAACTGAGATGAAAAATCTAGAAATATCTCAACCAATCATTCATCAGGAGTTTATGAATGGAAACTTTTTTGTTCGGCGTGGCAAAGGCTGATTTAGCCAAGTCTCTATCGATCAGGCGACTGAATGGCAAAACAGAGTCTGCAAGATTTCAAATGGCATTATTGGGATAACCAGGAATGACACTGCTAGAGACAAATTTTGCTTTACATGGGCTGAAAGATCTTATATTTCTCATTCTACTAGATGTCTGTTGGAAATAGAAAATGAAGATGAAGATCATCTGATCTCTACAAGAAAAGATCAACGTTTTTGGACTGGAAGGAGAAGAACTGGATGGTGGTATTATGGAAGAAGAAGAGAATGAAAGCACTGAGAGAAGTGAGACAAAAAAGCTTGTGTCCCTAGCTACAAATAATGTGTCCACTGCGGAGATTGAAAATGATCTGCTCTCTGCACAAACAAGAGGGGTATGTATGGTACAAAGCAATGTTAGTAAATGATTTAAACAGAAAGAAACTCCATTTTTTTATCCACTGCCAAAAGTAAAGTCAAAAACGTTTGCTTCACTCTATAAGACGACCTTTGCAGGAAAACAAAATGAGAAGAAGACGATCAAGGCAGATGGAAGATTGTTGCCACAGCTACTTACAGCATCTTTGGCGGGCAGAAAGGTTGATCTGAATGAGATTTTGCAACATGAGCTATCATATCTAATAGCCCACTTTCACTGGCAAAAGTAAATGGTGACATGAATTCAACAACCAAGACAGAGCTAGCAAAGATCATCACAAAGAATGAGAAAATTCTACCCAATATAACAGAACCAGGCCCAACACAGAGAACCTGCATATTGAAGTGACGTGAAAGGCTTTATTTACTGAGGGTAACACGTGACAGTTAGAAACTGATAAACTTATGGCCCTCAAAATTTACAAAATTTAAGATATTAGAACACAGTCCCTATTTAAAGTTAAAATTATTAAAACACGACCCTAACGCTGCAACCTATTTGCACATTTTTGATCATCTAAAAACTGTTTATAAATACTACGCCTAAAGCTAAAAGCAGAATGTATACTTCTAACGTTCAAATCTAATTTGTTCCAGTCTATAATTGTTCTTACAGTGAAGGTTCTGGCTCCTTCTGTTTTACGATTGTAAATTGGGCATAGCATATTCAAATTCGAATAACGTGTATTCCTACTATGCCTTTCTGAATTTCGCGCTAAAAGTGAATTTAGATAGCTAGGAGTATTATAAGCACTATTTACACACTTATACGCTAACATTATTCTCTTGATCAAAGACTCCTTCGTAAAAGGAAGCCAATTTAAAGTGTTAAACATAACAATTGAAGGTGCCATCTTTTCTGCATCCAAAATAATCCGGGCTGCCCGCTTTTGAAGTTTCAATACTCTTTGAAAACATTCAGCATTGCAATTATCCCAGATTACACTCCCGTACATCATCGTAGGCTTTATAACACTATTAAAGTACAACTCTCTTTGTTGTTTCTTGAGGTACGGACTAATGTGTTTGAGAAGACCAAGCTGTTTCGAGAGTTTCCGACATAATCGATCAATATGTTCTTCATACTTTAATCTATTGCTAATCGTTACTCCAAGGAGTTTTTGACAATTTACTTCAGTAATCTGTGTATCATCCACTTTAACTGCTATGTCCATATTCCCTTTTTCTAAGATTTTCTTTTCAAGACGCTTTCCTGATATAAGCATAAACTTTGTTTTTTCGTCGTTAATACTCATCTTATTTTGAATCGACCACTGATTTAAGGCAGCAAGATCACAATTTATATCATGGACCATTGAGGGAATATCATTCCAATGAGTACTTGCAGATAAGGTTGTATCGTCTGGAAATATATCAACTGATGAATGTGATAGATGGAGTGGAATGTCGTTTACATATAGAAGAAACAGTATAGGTCCCAGTACTGAACCCTGCGGCACACCATGATTAACAGGCAAACGACTTGACTGCTGTCCATCAATAGTTACAAATTGGGATCTTCCAGTGAGATAAGATGTGAACCATTTGATTGCTGAGTCAGCTACTCTATACAAGTGTAATTTAGACAATAGGACTTGATGGTCTATTAGATCAAAAGCCTTTTTAAAATCAACAAAAGCCATAAGAGTAACTTCGTCTTTATCCATATTAAGTAATATTTGATCTGTAAGATTGATTAAGGCTGTCTCTATATAGAGTGTCCTTTACGAAAAGCAGATTGTCGTTCGTAGAGTAACCCATTGTTGGTAAAGTAATCCATAACGGATCTAGCAACATGTTTCTCGCATATTTTAGAAATGACAGGTAGCACAGATATAGGTCTATAATTGTTTTTATCATCACGTAAGCCAGATTTATGTAAAGGTGTTACCCGTGCTATTTTCCATTTTGTAGGAAAAATGCCTTTGTCTTAGTGACATATTTAAAAGCTTTGTTAATGGATGGGAAAACACCGGAGAAACCAATTTCAAGATCTTCACACTAATACCATCTACGCCAGTAGCTTTCGAGCATGATAAATTGTTAATAAGTTCATTTACTTGCTCAACAGTTATAGATGGAATGTTGTATTGTGTGACAAAATTGTTGATTTTCGTTGAGACAAAGTCATCAATAATTTTCGTATCCAAAGGATTTGTTAAGACTTGATCGTTCTGTATTTGTGTAATAATATTTACAAAAAAGTCGTTTAACATGTTTGCCATTTCCAATACGTTTGTTTCGGACGAACCGCTATCCCTCTTTAGCTCAATGATCTTACTTGATTTTTGTGCCTTAGTCAAAATCTTCAAAGCATTCCAGATTCCTTTGGGGTTTCCTTTATTGTTTTCGATTGTTTCTTGAAAGTAATCACGTTTTGATTTTTTAATCAGATTTACAACATGACATTTGGAGCGTTTATAATTTGCCCAATCATCAATAGCATTTGATTTCCGCGCCCTTTTAAGATCTTTATCACGTTTTCCGATCGCAACTACTATCTCATCATTTATCCAAGCCGGCTGTTTAAAACGTTTAACCCTTTTCTGCTTCAATGGGATATGATCTATCACTATTTGATTTAAAAATATTTCAAGTGTTTCAAGAACGTCATCAACGTCGTCAAAGATAAAGGCATTATCCCATGGGCATTTACTTAAGTCTTCGAGCAAGTTTTCTACATTCAAGTTCTTAAAGTCATGGTAATTTATCACTTTATGTGATGAATCCTTATTTATTTTAACATACTTTCGACATATAAACACGGGTAAGTGATCGGCAAGACCAATGTTCGGCACAGTTAAGACAGAAATAAATGCCGGATGTGTAGTATAAACGTGGTCTAGACAACTATTACTCACTGGTCGTGTAACTTCATTTACAAGTTGAGATAAATTCATACTGCCAATTAAGGGACTTAATTAGTCGGTGATTTGAAAAGGCCATTTTATCCAGGCTATTTATGTTCATATCACCCACTAAAATCATTTCCATATTTTTCAAATACGCCGTTTCAATATTTTGCTCGATCCTAGAATCGAGTCCAACATGGCTGCCAAGCATGCGCATTTTGACTCAAAATAAAAATTCAAAATGGCGTCTTCTTATATAATTTGAATGGGAATAATGCAAAATTTGTATTTTTGATAACTTACGGTTGAGAAATCCAAAATGTGCATATCTAAAACTTCACTGATTCTGTCCAACTTTTATCCGTAAAAAAATTGGTACCACTCGAGTTGTCTAAGTATGTTCCCGAGCAATCAATATCTCTGCCTATAGTCTCTGCATAGGAAAGTATGTGATTTCGACATATTCGGTATTTTGCAGGTCCAATTTCAACTCGTTCTTTACAGATATCGTCAAATGTGCATATCTGAATTTCTTCGTACAGTATTCCTCTTTATTATTGTCACTTGTATGAAGCGTAAAAGTATACACTAGTATGTTCCCCAAAGCGATGAATTGCATGTATTTTGTAGAGAGGTGTCCGTCCAATTGTGATGAGAAATGCACCATATTTTGAACAAAAATATCACAAATTTCGCACCAAGAGTTATATTTGTTGTCCGCCATTGCTTTTATAAAGCTGTTGCTACGTTACAATGGTTTTAACCGCTGTCAATATAGGCTGTAGTCTCGTAAACATTCTAAATTCGTAAATTTCGTAATAATTTTGATTTGCGGACTTCAAAACATTTATAACTATTGGGTATTGGTAGACTTTTGAAATTTGAGCATGGACAAGACTCGGTTGGCGTAAAGTTTGTTATATTTTATAATTTTGCTTGTTTCTATATAATATCTGGTCTGTATAGTGCATTGAATTATCAAGAAAATATGAGCCCGCACGCCCGACCGCTTGATGTCCTCCATTTCTGGCCATGTGTAGAGGGTGGACGGTATATAGATCCAACTAGTAACGGCCTGTGTGAGTTATGAGGGTAAATAGTTAGCCATAGCGACTCGACAAAATCGTCTTCGAGATCACAGTTTCTATTTACATTAACCTTGTCAGAGACGTAAGCTATTAGCCCACCGCCATTTTTAGATCCGCCTCTGTCTTTCCGAAACAGATAATAACCCGGAATATTATATACAGAATCCGGCTTTGAGGTCGACTTTAGGAAGGTTTCTATTAAAAATAGTATATCGATATTCTTGTATGTAGTTAAAATAAGACTTATCTGTTCAAATTTTGCATCCGTCAAACGATTTATATTCCACTGGCCAATCCTTAGACCTTTGTCTGGCATCTTGATTTCTTTCAAATTTGCCTCCCAACTGTCCGAACTATCACCAGGGTTTAGTTCAACATCACCCGCCAGTAGAAGCTCCTGAGTTGTTAATTGCAAGTTGTTTTGGACTTTGTCCAGTTTATTATATAGTTCATGTTAATTTATTATGGTAATAGACTTTTGTCCAGTAACATTGAAAATAGAGAGGTCAGAGGACAGAACGAACACAAAACGTTTTGGGAAACAGGGTTTTTCTGTAAAAACTGTTGAGTTATACTAAATAAATATATGAAAACCTCATGGTTAATGAAAATTACACGCCGTCTATAACAAAGCTGGTCCTTCGTCGAGCCGGGTAAGAAAGAAAATGCCAGAAGTAAGCGAAATTGACAAGTGTAGAGCGAAGAGAAAAGTCGCGAAAGCTAGCGTGACAAGAAATATGAATCGTGTCAGAGAGCTGATCTCTAGCGATGGAAGTGTTCCGAAAGTCCGACAGTTTGCCAAAGGTGTAGAAGAAGGTCGTACGAAAGCCCGTGACCTTACGAAAGAACTGGAAGAGCTTGATCCAGCGTCAATTGAGACTGATGGTGGCTGGTTAGAAGAGGTAGAATTTGATGTCAACGAAGTCCTGGGAGAAGTTGCTGAATATTTATTAAAGTCTGAGAGCCCATCGCCAAACGAACAGTCTAGTATTACACCACCAACTGCTCAGAATAATGATGAAAATACTGAAACTGTGAACGATTCAATGTCTGGGAAAAGAACTGGTCTGAAAGGTGTTGAAATCCCATCATTCGATGGAAAACCAGATAAGTGGCCGTACTTTTGGGGAATTTTTAGTTCTCTTGTCCATAAAAATGATAAACTAACGCCAGCAATCAAGCTAGCTCATCTGAATAGCTGTTTAACGGACAGAGTACGTGAAGTTATTGCATGCCTGACCGGGGAGCCTGGGGACTATGACAGGGCGGTGAAACAACTCACTGATAGGTATGGGGACCCCCGAGAAATTATAGATGCCCATTTGCGCAGAATAAGTTCTTGGCCCCACATTAAGGATAAGGATCGTGAAGAGTTTCAACGCTTTGCAGATGCATTACAAGCAGCTGTGTTTGCACTAGATAAACCTGACTATAGGCATGAATTAGCTAGTATACCTCTTTGTACCTTGTTGGTTCAAAAACTCCCACCTAGAGAAAGGGATGAATGGGTAAAACAGGTTGAGAGTGAAGATTACTCGGAAGACATGAAGGGTTTAGCCAAGTGGGCCCAAGTTAGAGCCAAAACCATGCGTAAACGTGAGCGATACAATATTGAGCCGCCAGATAAGGGTAAAGAGTCGACTAATTTTCAGCCACCAGGTCGCATGCGAGGTAGGGTCCATGCTCTACGCACATCTGGATTTGATCCAGAACACCAAAGTTTAAAAAATTGTCCATTGTGTGATAAAAAACACACTGAAGTCTCATGCCCTTTGTTTTTTGATAGTTCTGTTGAGAAACGTTGGGAAATTGTAAAAAATAAAAGGGTATGTTTTGGTTGTTTGAAACCTGGCCACCAACGGCGCCTGTGCACAAAGTCCACCAAATGTGGGGTAGACTCATGTGACAAAGGCCATCATTATTTATTGCACAGTTCTAAATCTAAGCATGAGAAACCATCTGATGACCCACCTAAGACCCCAGAGGAAAACAAAGCAATGCATTGTGGGAAAGCACAAATCAGCACACCCATAAGTGAGAGGGTTGCCCTGAAAACTGTATCTGTCCCATTTATAGATGATTCTGGAAGGGTAGTCAATGGTTTGGTACTTTTAGACTCAGGAAGTGAGACCACACTTGTAAGAGCAGGGTTTGCAAATCAGTTAGGCATAAAGGGGCCTAAGCAAAGTCTTACTGTGGATGCAGTAGGAGGGGTACGCACCGTAGTGAAATCACAACGTGTACATTTACCATTTGCACCACACATTACAAAGGCAAAAATAACAGGGTGGACCATTAATAATATCTGTGCCCCTGTCCCAGATGTTAATTGGCCTGAGATTAAGCATAATTATGCCCACCTAAATGATGTCCCAATAGAGCCACTAAGTAAGGGCACTGTTGATGTCCTGTTAGGGTTAGATGCAGCTGCATTAATGGCACCCGTGCAAGTTAGACGCGGGGGGCATTTAGAGCCATATGCAGAGTTGACACCCTTAGGTTGGGTGATTGCCGGCCCAGTCCCCGCCTCCAATGGTCAGGAGAAGCGTGTCCTGTGTGTCCACGTGTCGGAGGACGAAGGCGATGCTAATCGAGAGTTACGAAAGTTCTGGGATGTGGACAGTTTCGGTGTTCGGGCCGAGATTAAGTCACCTTACACGCCTGGTGAGCAGAAAGCCTTGGACATTCTTGATCAATCATGCAAGCAGCAGGAGTTTGGTTATCAACTCGGACTTCTTTGGAAAACGAACAGACCTAGTTTACCTAATAATTATGACACTGCCTTGAAACGCCTAGAATCGGTTGAACGTCGCCTTTTGAAGGATCCGAAGTTAGCTGAGGGATATTTAAAAGCGATAAATGCATATGTTGAAAAGGGATTTGCACGCAAGTTATCGGAAGAAGAGCGCGTAAAACATGGTGAACAGTGGTTCCTACCCCATCACCCGGTTCTCTCCCCACACAAACCCCTACCGAGAGTAGTATTTGATTCCGCAGCAAAACATGGTGATATCTGCCTTAACGATTGTCTTCAAGCTGGACCCAGTCTCCACAACGATTTACCTGGCATACTGATGAGATTCCGTGAGAAACCTGTTGCGCTTACTGGTGATGTGTCGGATATGTTCTGTCATGTGCGATTACAACCAGAGGACTGTAAATACCATCGTTATTTATGGCGCGGATTGGATATGTCGAGACCACCTGATGTGTACGAGATGAACTGTCTGGTGTTTGGAGATAAATCTTCACCCTGCGAGGCAAACTATGCTGTGATTCGCACCACCGAAGACAACAAGGAAGAATGGCCCGTCGCAGCCGCAGTGGTCAAGCGT